AGTTAATGCCTGTGTACATGTGGATAGCAATCAGCCTAAGTACAGAAAGGCAGATTACAAACAGTTATAGAACAGTAGAGTACAGTGATCTTTTCAGCTACAAAGACAATGATTTTTAACCTTTGATCTTTTGATTCTAAGTCACCACAGGACACTCACCTGACCTTATGCACAGTACAGTAGTATACCTGTGACATGTGCCGAAACAAACCTTGCACAGTAAATCTTTGATCAGTCTCCTTGTGCGACGATCTTGTCTCTGTCACTCTGTGATGACTACGACTGTAGAAGTTACTGCACGTTGAATGGAAGATCATTAATCATTAATCGTGCACTGGTGTTGTGGGGTTCTTTTTTTCTTATTTCTTGACAGTAATTTCTACCACACCCACTTTGACTTGCATTGACTTTTGTTACAAATTAAACTAAATTGCCCCTTTTTAACTTTTTTAACTTTTTTTAAATACTACCTGTATGAGCTATGTTTTTCAGTTAAAATCCTTAACCCATCATTAACAATTTTCTTTACTTTATTATAAAACTATTTTTAGACTGTTTTTTTGGTTTATGCCATCTCAAATGCATGTCAGTTGGGACCTTGCCAGGACATTGTCACATTACTTTATGTTATTTATAGTTGCAATCCCTTAAAATTGACTCCCAATAAAAAGTATGACTCACATTGTTTGCAAACGTGCCATTTTGAATGAAGCCATGCAAAATGGATCTTGCTGGACTTGCATGTTGTATCCTAAATATTTATGTTAAACTAAATCTGGTTTTTATGGCCAAGTTCACAATATTGACATGCAGTTGTAATGGAATGCACTTTTGTCCTGTGTCTTCTTGTCCTTACATGTAAATATTTAAAATAACATTCTTTAAACCCCCAAAAATTCATATGTATGTGGTTTGCGTTCACAATTCTCTCTGTTCTAAATTTGCATGAAACTTTCCTGTTAAATTCCTGTAAATTCCAGACAAGTTGCATGCTACTCACATTACTCTTAATCTGCATGATACTGTACATCTGTAGGTTCTTGTCAAATTCCTGTAAAATCCAGAAAATTTCATGTCATACACTCTACTCTAAGTCTCCATGGTGCTTTGGTGTTTACAGCTGTTGCAAGAAAGGTTGTCCAGAAGAAGGGTGAAAGTGTCAGCAACTGTACTAAAATCAATAAATTTTAATAACCCCCTAAACCTACATTGTATAATAGCACGACTGTATAGTGATGGCCTGTAGGATGTGCAGTGGTCTAGTGGTTGGTGGGCTTGACTCCAGATCAGGTCTTCCGGTTTCAAGCCAAGTAATCCGGGTTCAAGCCCTGGCTAGGGTCACTGCGTTGTGTTCTTGGGAAAAACACTATTAATATTCTCACAATGCCAAAGCACCTACCTGATGGACCGCTTGGCTTGAATGTAGACTCCACCATCACCTTTGATGGTGGGCTGCATAAACAAAAAAGGAAAACAACCACTACCCAT